AGAAGAATGAAACTGGACCATTTCCTTACACCACACACAAAAATAGATTCAAAATGGTTGAAAGGCCTAAATGTGAGACAGGAGTCCATCAAAATCCTAAAGGAGAACACAGGCAGCAACCTCTTCCCCCTCGCCACAGCAACTTCTTCCTAGAAACATCACCAAAGGCAAGGGAAGCAAGGGCAAAAATGAACTGTTGGGACTTCATCAAGATAAAAAGCTTTTGCACAGCAAAGGAAACAGTCCACAAAACCAAAAGACAACCGACAGAATGGGAGAAGATAATTGCAAATGACATATCAGATAAAGGGCTAGTATCCAAAATCTATAAAGAACTTATCCAACTCAACACCCAAAGAACAAATAATCCAATCAAGAAATGGGCGGAAGACATAAACAGAGATTTTTCCAAAGAAGACATCCAAGTGGCTAACAGGCACATGAAAAAGTGTTCAACATCGCTCGGCATCAGGGAAATCCAAATCAAAACCTCAATGAGATACCACCTCACACCAGTCAGAATGGCTAAAATTAACAAGTCAGGAAACGACAGATGTTGGCGGGGATGTGGAGAAAGGGGAACCCTCCTACATTGTTGGTGGGAACGCAAGCTGGTGCAACCACTTTGGAAAACAGTATGGAGATTCCTCAAAAAGTTGAAAATAGAGCTACCATACAATCCAGCAATTGCACTACAGGTATTTACCACAAAGATACAAATGTAGGGATCCGAAGGGGTACGTACACCCCGATGTTTACAGCAGCAATGTCCAAAATAGCCAAACTATGGAAAGAGCCAAGATGTCCATTGACAGATGAATGGATAAAGAAGAGGTGGTATATATATATGTATATATATATATAATGGAATATTATGCAGCCATCAAAAGGAATGAGATCTTGCCATTTGCAACGACGTGGATGGAACTGGAGGGTATTATGCTGAGCGAAATAAGTCAATCAGAGAAAGATATATATCATATGACCTCACCGATATGAGGAATTCTTAATCTCAGGAAACAAACTGAGGGTTGCTGGAGTGGTGGGGGGTGGGAAGGATGGGGTGGCTGGGTGATAGACATTGGGGAGGATATGTGCTATGGTGAGCACTGTGAATTGTGTAAGACTGATGAATCACAGACCTGTACCTCTGAAACAAATAATACATTATATTAAAAAAAGAAGAAGATAGCAGGAAGGGAAAAATGAAGGGGGGGAAATCACAGGGGGAGATGAACCATGAGAGACTATGGACTCTGAGAAACGAACTGAGGGTTCTAGAGGAGGCTCTAGACGAGGGGGGTGGGGGAATGGGTTACCCTGGTGATGGGTATTAAGGAGGACACATACTACATAGAGCACTGGGTGTTATATGCAAACAATGAATCATGGAACACTACATCAAAAACTAATGCTGTATGGTGATTAACATAACATAATAAAAAAAGATATAACACACAATGGCTAATCATAAGAAAGCTGGTATCAGATAAAGGAGACATTAGAACACAGAACTGTATTGAAAATAAAAAAATAATTTTGGACTTTCAGTTCTGGCAATGATGGACTAGGCCCATTCCTCTAATCCTCCCTCCTGCAATTAAAATACCATAGACAACACAACAAACCAATACAGGAAAATTGAAACATAGAAAGGGAAAGGCAGAGTTCTCAAAATTTGAGGAATACATGAATTCCTTAGGTTTTCTTTTTACCTACATATAAAATGGAGGGAGCACTGGAAACTGGAACTTCCAATAAGCACAGACTTAAAAAAAAAAAAAAATCCCTTAAGAAAAGCCAAAGAGGGCACCTGGGTGGCTCAGTCAGTTAAGCTCTACCTTCAGCTCAGGTCATGATCCCAGAGTCCTGGGATTGAGCTCCACATCGGGCTCCCTACTCAGCAGAGAGTCTGCTTCTCCCTCTCCCTCTGCCCTACTCATGCTCTCTCTCTCTCAAATAAATAAATAAATTCTTTAAAAAAAAAAAAAGAAGAAAGGAAAGTCAAAGGACTGTGAAAAGGGGTCTCTAGCATAATCCAAAAACTTTCTGACAATACCTATCCTACCTGAGCCAAACACCAAGAAAATAAGTGCACCACTATCTATATGTGTCAGTAGGGCTGAAAAATAATATGGCAGTGAAAACTGGCCCTCCAATTCCCCCACCAGAGTGGTGCTGGTTAAACCAAGCAGGGAACTGAACTTCCATTCCTGTCTGGAAGTAGTAGTCACAATGAGTCAAAGATATCTGTTCTCATCACTATTATTAAATATAATGCTGGAAGCCAGAGCCAGCACAAAGGAAAGAAATAAAAAGCATTCAGACTGGACAGGAAGAAGTAAAATTGTCTCTATTTGAGAATGATATAATTGTCTATGTAGAAAATTCCAAGATATCTATAGAAAATCTAGAATGAAAAAGTACATTGAATAAGATTGCAAGATATCAGATAAACATATAAAAATCAATCATATTTCTATATACTAGTAACAAACACGTGGAAACTAAAATTAAAAACAATGCTATTAAAAATCATTCCAAAAAAACATGAAATATAAATGCATAAATCTAACAAACCATGTGTAGGATCTGTATGATGAAAATTATAAATTGGTGATAAAAGAATCAAACAATATCTAAATAAATGGAGAGACATACCTTGTTCACAAATTGAAAGACTCAACATAGGTATTTTATTACATGGAGCCAAACTCAATCCCTAACTAACAAAAGTAATTAGAAAAATAATACTCTACAAGTATTAAACTACAGTTGAATATTATGAAATGTGTAAAATAATTCAACTCCTCAATATATTAAAGGAAAACCACATACTCAATCACCTTAACAGTTAACATAACTTCACTATATACCAGACATTTGCTAACACTCAATAACTTCTTGGTTTTGTTTTATTTTTTAGCAAAATAGAAATAGAAGAATACTTTCTTAACATGATAAGGAATATACAACTCAAACCAACAAGTAACCAAATGTTTAAAAATTAAATAGAATAGGAATTAACAATAAAAGTAGGTTTAGAATATAGATATGTCTTAATTAAACTTTAAGCAGAGGATAGAAAAATAAATACTCTACTTTCAAGTTCCCTAACTGGATCATTTTCATGGATGGTGAATTCATTCTGCGAATATAAATGGAATCCAAAAGAAAATCTTACCCCTTTTCAGTGTTAATGTCTCTACGTTAGGGTTACATATACTTACCGATAAAGTTAATTCCTCAGGTTCAGGCTTCACAACTGATTTTTCTCCATTTTGAATGCTAAATCCATAGGTTTCTTCCAAAGTAGAAACAATCTGTGAGTGAATCAAAGAAAATTAAGTATTTTTATAGTTTAAAATTATTATATTAAATGTAAAAAGACATTTAATCAAACATGTCAGGACCTTCTTAGCAGTTAAGACTTATTTCTGCCAGTGCCACAAACTTAAATTTTCCATCTCACACCCCATCTCATATCACCATAAAGAAATGATGAGAAACAGTCCTTGACTCTACTCCCTAGCAATGGAGAAAGTCCCTATGATTCTTATTTCTGTGTTGACAGGCATGTAAAAGACTATGAATAGTTGAAGCATCAACTCCACTTATTACCAAAGTATTCCTCAAAATATGACTGACTCAACTTTCTTCTTTGAAGAGAAGTGGGCAAAACAGACATGGAAACCAAAGAGCAATAAAGGAAATTCTCTGAGCTAATGCCTTAAACTTTGAGGAAATTTATATTTTGGAGATTTGACAAACTATGTTCTTTTTATATTTGTACTACTCCTCATTGTTCTCATTTGGTATTTGGTACAACCACAGTTCAATTCTGGATCATTGTGCAAAGAGAAACTCAGAGAAAAAGGAAATTTTTTTTCCCCCAACACTAAGAGCTAAAGTTTCTAAAGTGCTGAGAAGAGTTAGCATAGCAGGAATGAGACTTAGAAAGGCCTATCGTTAGAAAGATCTGCTTTCAAGGCTGGCATTGGACTGGTGTCTCAGTACTTGGATTTTAGGTGTGTTCCCATCATTCACTGATAACAGGGGCTCATTGTCCCTAAACCGTCTGCACAATGTGGTTTATGCTAAACATCTGCTTTCCTTCAGGGAGTCTGGAATTTCGGTACATGCTAGGCAAAGTATCCAATAAAACTCTGGGCACTGAGTCTCTAATGAGCTTCTCCTACAGACATTTCACATGTGCTGTCATAATGTGTTGTTGGAGGAATTAAGCACATCCTGTGTGACTTTAAAGGAAGAGGAATCTTGGACCTAGTTTCCTCCAGACTTCACCCCATAAGCCTTTTCCTTTTGCTGATTTTGCTTTGTATCTTTCACTGTAATAAATCTTAGCCATCAATAGGACTATATTTTGAGTCTAGTGCACCTTCCTAACAAATCACTAAGCCTGGCGCTGGTCATGGGGACCCCAAACACAGGGACCAACAAGTGTCTTACCATCTTCAGATGATTGGTAATTTTCCTGATCAATTCATCTTCTGCTATTAACTCCTTTGTCTTACTTGATGGAATGGGCAAAGCATACCTTACGATGGACTCCCCTCTTGGTGGAGATCCTAAGGCCATTGTTTCAAGTTTATCACGTACTAATTTTGTACTATGTTTTTCCTTTGATTTAAGTGACAATGGTAAATTCAATAATCCTTTTTTGTAAGTGAATTCTGGAACATTTGCCAATTTATTACTAGAGGCTAACAGATGTTTTGCTGGCTTCATTTTGTTATTTTACTTTGCTTCCAAATTATAGATGAAAAAATTGTATTCCTCCCTGTGAATAAAACATTAAGATTTCAGATTAAACATTATGGCAGGATTGTCAATCACCCATGAAGATGGTGAGTCCCAAAATCAGCTCTACAGAAATTACAAAATGGAGAGAATAACATTCCTAACAATAAATACCAACAAAAAATTTTAAAATAAGCAAACAAAAAAAACTGTGAGAAATCCCTACAGGTGGCTGAAGGCTGATTTAGGTATGGGCATTTAGGATGGGGGCTGAAGAGACAGAGACAGTGGCAGGAATGAGAGAATTTCTTTAGGAAACTTTAAAATTTTATTCTTACCTTTCCCCCATTTTTTAAAGGTAATATATGCCCTTTACCATTATTTCTATAGGAATAATAGCCTAGGCCCAGGGTATCAACAGAGTAATATCAAGGCAACACCAAAGTTGGACTGAGATAAAAAGTACAGACTGGACAGGTCTTAGGCTTTCATTCTTCTACTCCTCTCTCTCCAAAGCTGATTAAAACTCAGGACAATGCCTTCTCCCAAAGAGTTTTAAACTATATGCTTGACCATGGGCATTGTCTCATAGACTGACAAAATTAATATAGAATAGCATTGGTTCTCTGTTGTCTGAACTTAGATGTCTCATTGTTGTAGGTTGAACTGTGTCCCCGAAAAAAAATATGTTCAAGTTCTAACCCCTGGCACCTGTGAATATGACCATATTTGAAAATACAGTCTTTGCAGATGTAACCAAGTTAAGATGAGGTCATACTAGATTACAATGGGCCCTAAATCCAGTGGCTGGTGTCATTATAAGAAAGCCATATAAGGGCACCTGGGTGGTGCAGTTGGTTAAGCATCCGACTCTTGGTTTTGGTTCAGGTCCTGATCTCAGGGTCATGAGATCAAAGCCCCATGTCAGGCTTTACGCTCAGTGTGGAGTCTGCTGGGGACTCTCTCCCTCTCCCTCTGACCCTCCCCCTCTAGCACCACACTCTCTCTCTTTAAAATAAATAAATTAATGTTTTAAAAAAAAGAAATCATGTAAAGACACCATAGAAAAACAGGGGTAAAGGTCATGTAATGACAGAGGCAGAGACTAGAGCAATGCAACTACAAGCTAAGGAATGTTAAAGATTGCCAGCATCCTTGCTAGGAAGAAGCAAGGGGAGTTCTTCTCTAGAGCCTTTAGAAGGAGCGTAGCACTGCAAACACCTTAATTTTCGATTCCTAGACTCCTGAACTATGAGAGAATAAATTATTATTGTTTCAAACCACTTACTTCATGGTATTTTGTAATGGCAGCCCTGGGAAACAAATACACACATATAATTTCCCTAAACTTGATGGGAGGGACATAGACTGGGGCCTGGCTTTTGACCATTTTATGATAATAGATTACCAGACAAGAGTAGCCGACACTCCCAAGGGCATGTGAGCTCACAGGTGAAAATAACTTGACACCTGAAAAATACAAGTTTTGCAAAAGAAAAACAACAAACTGGAGGGAAAAAAAGTCCAAGGGCACCTGGGTGATTTAGTCAGAAGAGCATGTGGCTCTTGATCTCAGGGTTGTAAGTTCCAGCCCCACGCTGGGTGTAGAGATTACTTAAATACATACATACATACATACATACATACATACATACAAACAAACTTAAAAAGAAACCAAAAATACACAAACACCCCCCACACACATACAGAATATTAGCAATAGAAAACAGGTACACAGGGTATTTTTTTAAAGACTCGAGTAGAAATATTACAAATGAAAAATGTAATAAACAACATAACTGATCACAGAATAATACTGCTGAAGAATAAATTAGGAAAACAGAGGATCAGATTGAGGTGTTCTGCCAGAAAGCAGCAGAAAAGGATAAAGAAATAGAAACAAAAAATAAGAGATATGTAGAATTATATAAATGTCAAAGACCACACAATAGAAAGAAGATCCAGTGAGAAAGAAAATATGGACAGGAGAGAAATATTTGAAGAAATAATAAAGATAAATTTTTCAGATTTAAGAATAGTGGAACCATAGATCAAAAGTGTTCACAAAATGCGAAAAAGTAAACAGATAAACAACAAAACACAAACACAGAATGAAATGTAAGAACCTCAAAGAGAAAAATCTGAAAGATTTCAGAAAGAGTAAATAACCTAAAAAGGAGGAAGGATTGAATTTCCACCAGGTTTTAATAACATCTCTCCTCAAAGGATTCTATATCTTGTCTAAATTGAAAACTCTCTGGATGCAGAGTTTAGCTGAAGAATAAAAATGACGCAAAGATTAGCAGCACTTATCACACATTCTTGAACATGAATAAAGTGAAATGCATAATATCATCAGTATTAAGAGTTAATATCAGATTTTAAAGAATTTAAAAAATTAACAATCCTATGAAAAATGGGAATATATAGGCCTGCATTTGTTGATAACAAAAAAAAAACATGATTAAATTTTTAGAGTAGTACCTAGTATAGAGAGGGTCATCTAATAAATTTTAAGAGCCTGATAATAGGTATTTTTTTTATTTAGCAGAAACCATGGCAAAAGTCAGTGGCATCCTGTTAGCACATTGCTGCAAAATACAAATATTAACACCAAATAATAGACTATTTAGGAAGTAAAATACAAAACCAAATAATAAATATTATAGGATACATTATGAATAAAATCAGTTTGAATAAGGTTTTTAAAAACTATTTCTCACTTATTTTGGACACAATCCCTAATGTAAAACACAGAAGGCACATAACAATTACTGATATAATTGTGGATTTCCAAAATCCAAATATTTCTATATGTGAACATGTATTAGGATTTTAACCAATAGATGACACAGCTGGAGAAGAATCATACACATTTTTAAGAGCTTACCAAAAAAATAAATTAAAAAATATATTATATATACATACACATATATGTATGTATGTTTGTATGTATATATAACTGGGATACAATGCCTCAAATACATATGAGAAAAACAAAGCAAACAGAAAATCCTCAAAAACGAAAATTCTCTGACATTTTGCACAACTTGTCAAGACATTTTTTTAACTTGGTCATGAATGATAGAGCAAAAATATCTTATGACAACACTGAAAATTTTTATTTCATTCACAAACTATACAACAGCAAGTAAACAAGTAAACAATACAAGTAAACAATAGTTTTAGAAACACCACAGTTAATTAAAAACACGGCCGCCAAACATAATTTTTAAATCATAATCAAATAAGTATTGGGAAACATTATTTGATGCCATGTCACTAAAAATTTATTTTGAAGGAAGAATGCAATGCTCTTTTGGAAACTGTTGATAATAATAATAAATATATACATTATAGAACATAAGCCAAAGTCCCCTCTTGGGAAATATTCCCTTTTTTAATATTTTTCTCATATTAACTGCGGCATGATGTTTTAAGTAAAGTTAATGTAGTAAGTGATACAGAAACCAAAATTCAGTTTACAAAACTAAAAAGCATCAAAAGAATTTCAAAGAAATTATATTGCCAAAGGCATTCCATCAAAAGTGTCAGGTCTGAGAGAGAAGGATCAGCAAACAAGATTTAAGAATGAGTGACTAATGAGTCAGAAGGTAAAACCAAGAGGGGATATACTGAAAATACAGTGAGAAAAACTTATGCCTGAGTGATGATCTCCGTCAAATGCTGGTCAGGTAAGAGGAAGACTAAGAACCAACGGATTTTACAACATGGAGGTAGGTCACTTGTGACCTAAAGTACAGCAACAATTTCAAGAGTGATGGAGGTGAATGCCCGATTGACCTAAGTTCAAAAGAGAATTGTCCAAGAGGAAGTGGAGACAGTGAATATGCATGTTAAGCACCTGAGAAATTGTGCTACAAAAGGGAGTAAAATATGGGCAAGAGGAAGATTTTTTTTGACGAGGAAAGTAACATGTTTGTATACTGTCATAGGTTTAATTATGTCCTCTCCCCAAAAATATGCTCCAGTCCTAACCCCAGAACCTGTGAATGTGACCTTATTTGGGAATAAGGTCGTTGTAGATGTAATCAAGTTAAGATGAATTCAAACTGGACTAGGGCGGTCCCCAACCCCTGAGTGGTGTATTGGAAGAAAAAAATAGATACACACAGGAGAGAACACCACGTGAAGGCAGAGACTGGCCCAATGACTCTACAAACTAAGGGACACCTGCGATTGGCAGCAGCCTCCAGAAGCTAGGAAAGAAAAACATGGAACAAATTCTCCCTCAGAGCCTCCAGTAGGAACCAACACTGCCAACACTTTTCAGCCTTCAGCCTTCAGCCTTCAGCCTCCAGAAGTGAGAGAATAAATTTCTGTTGTTTGCGGTACTTTTTTTAGGCAGCCCTAGGAAACGAATACATATGCTGATGTAAATGACCCAATAGAAAGCGCAATGTATTTCCCGGTGTAGAAGGAAATTGATGGGATGATATCCTGGAGTAAACGAGGGAAATGGGTTTTAACGCCCAAATGCTCCCGTGCACTTAAGGTAGGCACAGGTTACATTTACCTGTGGTAACAGGAAGGCTGGGATGCCGGCCACGTCAAGAAACCAATTAAGGAAAAGCCGGGACACTCACCAGGTGCCACAAAACCACCTCATCAATGAAGTTCACATGCGCATACAAATAAAGGTTACACGGAGTAAACGCTTGTATTTACAAGAAAATGTTTAAGGATTTTACATGGTCTCTTCATTTAACCCTCCTAACCATGCTAGGAGGTGTACGTTATATCACCACAGATTTGCCCAAGTTCATCAGCCACCTGCTACCACGGAGACAAACGTTTTCCGGTCCTCCTTTCCAGGGGTCACTTCAAACCCTCTCATGATACACTACACTATGAAATGGGGGTGGGGGGCGCAGGGTAGGAAAGCTCTGATTTGCCTTAGAGTTCTCATCCACAGAGGCACAGCTGCCACTGAGAGAGGAAAAGCAAACTCTCACAATCCGATGAGGAAAGAACCGCGCACGCCTCCGCTCCTAGCAGCCCGTGTACCTGCCGAGGCTGTGGGAAGCCAGGCTCCTGAGTGGTTTTGCCTGGGCGAAGAGGGCTCTAAGGTGAAACAGTTGGAAATTCCCAGCCTCCCAGACTTCCTACAAGGCGGGAGCTTGCAAACCCTGCAGACTCCAGCCCTGCTATTTTACAAACTGACATTTGGGCTGAAAGGCCGGGCCTCTGCGCCCTGAGGCGGCAGTAACCACCGGGGCGAGGCGCACAGCGGCAGGGCAGGCGGTTGACGCCGCGTCACCGGTGCCCCCCCCACCGCGCGCCCCTGCCGCGCGCGACCCCCAGCCGCGCGCGCCCCCGCCGGCGAGACCCGCGCAGCGCGAGGAGCCGGAGCTTGAGCTGAGTCTTTTCGCCGAGTGGAAGGCGAGAAGAATTTCGGCAATGGTGGAACCCTAAAAAGTAGTCAGGTTCAGACCGCGCACTCTTCTCGCTCCCCAGGCTTCCCTCCGGGACGCTGCACAAGTGAGATTCTTTTAGACATTTGGCGTAAAGAAATAAAACAGGGGCCTATTCGGTGCTTTGAGAACTTGGGCTTCACCTGCAAAACCTGAGCCTCCAGCCGCTCATCTGCCGCTATCTAAAGTTATTTTCAGTCCGAGGATTTGTAGAGTCCTTTACCAGACTCTAAGCACCCACGGAATTGTGCTGTGGCTTCGCGGTTTTAAAAAAAAACGGACTAAAAAGTTGAATCGTGCCACATAAGCAGTGTCTTGCCATCAGTTTCTCTGCACTGCTTTCATATCCAATTTTCTAACGTAGAGCTTTTTGATAGTTTGACTTAAAGTAACTTTTTTCTCTTAAAAAAAATGAAGGTTATTGATTTAAAACACTCTCCAAATAAAGTTTTATTGCCCGAAGTAAAGTGTTTTAATATTTAAAAATACTAACTTGATATAATTTAATTTTTTTATAATGGCTGTGTTTGGTTTACTCTATGAATATTCAAATAAATAGTCCAGAATAAAAACTGAAACAAGTGCAAAAATGGAAGAGGGCTCAAGATCGAGGCATAGAAGGATCCTGAACTCACCTGTTCCCCCAAACACAAGAAATCTACAGCTACATATGGAAAATTTCCCTCTGCAAGGGACTTTGAAAGCTAGCTGAACAGCATGTCCACAACATAGGAGGAAAGGGCCACATTGAGACAGATAGAAGAGGTAGAGACCAGGTCTTGCAAGAATCCCCACCCCAGGCCCAGCAGACCCACAGTTAGGAGAGATCGCATAATATAGAGGTTGTCCCTGAGGAGGGAGGGATTTGTGCCCCACACCAGGCACCCCAACTCTTGGGACCTGTACCAGAGAGACAAGCCCCCAGTCTGGCTGTGAAAACCAAAGTTTACTTCCAGGAGAACCACTATAAATATAGAACAGAAAATCCACTCTTAAAGGGCTTGTGCACAGACTCACTTGCCACCCTCAGAACCCAAGGTAAATGCAACAATCCAAAAGGCAAAGGAGACTTATTTGCTAATCTTAAAAATATTTCAATTTATGTTCAATTGATACTGTGGTCATTGCAAGGATCTGGGACAATTTAAATTCTGACAAAAAGTGAAATTTCCCCTTGACTCCCGCATTTTCTAGTTTTCAGTTATATAGAAAGTATGTGACACATTTATTCATATACATGAATCCAATATGCTTATATGTAACAAACTTTATATATCTTGAGATATACATGTTTAAAAGACAGAAAACATTTGTGTTTTATCATTTCCTAGGTATCAGCACATAATAATAAATGCTTGTTAAGTGAATGTTGTAACTTTTTTTCAAAAGTGCAAAAATGTGGGGTGGCTGGGTGGCTCAGTTGGTTGAGCGACAGCCTTTGGCTCAGGTCATGATCCTGGAGTCCCTGGATTAAGTCCCGCATTGGACTCCCTGCTCAGCGGGGGGTCTGCTTCTCCCTCTGACCCTCCCCCCCATGCTCTCTCTCTCATTCTCTCTGTCTCAAATAAATAAATAAAATCTTTTTTTTAAAAAGTGCAAAAATGTAAGAGATCCATGGAAAATGGTCTCCCAATAGATGAAAAAAGAGCTACCAGGCTAACACTAGTCAAAAGAAAGCTGTAGTTTTTATATTAATTACCAAAAAACTAGATTTTTGAGTAAAGACTATTACCAGGGATAAAGTGGGTTATTTCATAATGTTAAGCCATTCATTAAGAAGATACAACAATCCTAAACATTTATATAGATCTAACAAGAGAGGAACAAAATACCTAAAACAAAAACTGGTGGGACTTCAAGGAGAAATAGACAAACCCACCATTAAAGTCAGAGATTTCATCATGTTGAGTAAGGAAAGGGTTAAGGTATAGGCAGGGAGAGATGGGGGGGGGGGTCCCTGACTAGGCTCTGAAACTATTCCTGGCAGGCAGAAGCACTAAGACAGAGTGAACAAGAGATAAGGGAATAGACCAGACCACCTGGTCCTGGATGTTAGAGAGATGTTAGGTCCTGGATTTTTCTTTGGCAGCTACATTGTAATCACAGAAAATGACCAGACCTCAAAGAAGTAAGTCATTAAGGATGTTATCAATAGTTCTTGCTCAAACCAAGATGGCACAAGAATCTCAAGGCGATTAGCTTACTGGTCAAGTTTTCAATAAAATACCCGCCCTAAAAACCCTCAGTGGTAACCCATTCGGGACCCCTCTCACTCCAGAGAGTTTTTTCTTTCCTTTCTGTTTTCACCTTCACTTAATAAACTTTCACTTCACTTCACCCTTTTGTGTCTGCGAGATTCATTCTTTGACTTCTTCTTTGACTGCATGAGACAAGAACCCTGCAATCCTGCAACAATGTCTCACTCCATAACTGATCAAATAAGTAGACAGAAAATCAGGATATAGAAACTTGAATAATGCTTTCAATACTAACAACATTATCAACCAATTAGTAATTCATGTGTCAAAGAAGTAATAAAAAGGGAAATTAAAAAGTATATTGAACAGAATAAAAATAAAAACAAAGCATATCAAAATGTGTGGGATGCTGCTAAAGTAGCATGTAGAGGAAAATGTATATATCACTATACTACACACCTATAATAAGAAGAAAATTCTCAAATCAATTACTTCAACTAGAAAGGGAAGAAACAAAAAAAAAGAGCAAATGAAACACAAAGGGAGCAGAAGAAAGGAAATGATTAAGAAGAGAAGTCAATTTAAAAAACAAAATAGCAGAAACCAATAAACCCAATATCTGGCTGTGTCACAAAATCCAAAAAAAAAAAAAAAGATTAATGTCTACCCAGAGTAATCAGGAAAAGAAGAGAGAGAGAGAGAAGACCCAAATTACCAATATCAGGCACTACAAATTCTACAGATGTTAATGGGATAATAAAGGAGGTTTTGAACAATTTTATGCCCATAAATTCAACAACTTAGATAAAATGGATAAATTCCCTAAAAGACAAAAATTATCAAAGCTTATTCAACAAGAAAAAGATATCCTGAATACCATTATATCTAAAGAAATTAAATTTGTATTTAAAAAATCAAGAAAATTTTCCATCAAGAGAACTCCAGGTCCAGATAGCATCATTAGTGAGTAATAAAACATTAAGAAACAATACAAATTTTATACAAATGCATGCAGAAAATTGCAAAGGATCCAGGGATACTTCCCAACTCATTCTGAGAGGCAGCATTACCCTAACACCAATACCAAAGACATTAAAGAAAAGAAAACTATCAATATCCCACCTGAACACATATGCAATAATTTTTCATGAAATTTTAGCAAATTGAACCAAACAATATATATGTAAAAAAAATAGTAGTCATGACCAAGTGGGGTTTATCCCAGGGATGCAAGGTTGCATTAACATAATCAATGAAATCATCATATTTACAGGCTAAAACACAAACATGTATGCACACACACATATGATTATCTAAAGAGGGGCTGAAGAAGTAATTGACAAAATCCAACATCCATTCCAGATTTTTTTAAATCTGAAACTTGAAATAGAAACTTTCTTAACCTGATAAAATGCATCGGTGAGAAACCTACAGCTAACATCATACCTAATGGTAAAGATTGATTGCTTCCCCTCTATGATAAAGAACAAGGTAAGGCTGTCTGCTCTCATTACTTTTCAACAATGTACTTACTGGAAGTCCTAACCAGTGCAAAAGTCAAGGAAAAGAAATAGAAAATTCAAACTGGAAAAGAAGAAAAATGAATTTTTTAATAAAGAAACAAAATGATCTATGTAGAAAATCTGATGAAATCTTCAAAAATTAGTAAGTTTAACTTGGTTGCAGGATACAAGATCAAAATACAAAAATCAACTGTGTTTCTGTATGCTCTTGATGAACAATGAGGAAGTAAAATACCATAAATACCACTTACCATGGCATTAAAAATATGAAGTATATGCATAATGCTGAAAATGTGCAAAACTTCTACACTGATAACTATAAAAAATTGCTGAGAGAAAATAAAGGTCTAAGTAAATGCAGCAATACCATGGTCATGAATTAGAAGATTTAATAATGTTAAGATGTCACCTCTCCCCTACTTAATGTATCAATTCAAAACAATCCCAATCAAAATACCAGCAGGCCTTTTTGAAGAAATTGGTAACCTGATGCTAAAACACCTATGGAAATGAAAAGAACCTGCAATAACCAAAACAACTTTGAAAAAGAATAAAGTTGGAGAACTTCAAACAAAAAGCATAGTCCCAGAGGAGTTCCTGCTGCCCCTGGGAATAAAGTCTTATTTACAACCGCTGAGCAACGCCCTCCCTCCCCCAAGTGGCACCCATAGCTCTCATAGTACACAGTTGACAGTGGCTCCAACATGGCCTCCTAGCCGCTGACACACCTTAGGGTTCTTTCTTCTGTTCAAATCATTGAGAACCTATGTTTTTTGGAGAGACTGCGTAATGGCAGTCAGTCCAATCTGTTCTTTGTTTGTTTATAATAACAGTTCGGTGGGATTTGTCCATCCCATGAAATGCCTGAATAATAGGTACGGAAATGTGTGTGAGAATGACAACAAAAATTTTCATAAGGTTTTGCATAGGAGGTGAAGAAACCGGGGCCATTTGCTGCTATTTCCAATACTGAGAAGTAAGATTAAGAGAATAGCAATCAAATTGCAGTCAAAGCCATCTGGCAGATAGCAATTCAGAAGTCAGTTAAATTCAGGACGCCTGAGTGGCTCAGTCGACTGGGC